GAGAGAGAGAGAGAGAGAGAGACGATGATGATGATGATGATGAGGAGAAACAGTAGAAAAAAAGATATAATTTTATCTATGATGATGCAGATCAACAAGATATAATTGAGATACTTTTAGTGACATAATAGTGAGCAAAATATCAAGATATAAGTAATAAAGTTAAGGTAAGATGATCAGAATATCTGATGACAGTTGAAACATGTCCTGAGAACTGTGTTTTAACTTTTCATGTACATTAACATCCCTTTTTAAATAAAAAAAGTATAATTATCCTCACAAAGAGAAAGAATAATAGTATAATTGTTTTCAACTTCTTAACCACTTCTTAAAGTAATGCATAAACAACACAGCCAAAAAGAATATGAACAGCAAAGTCCTTAAGATAGGGATCGAGGCGGAAGGAATTTAAGTAAAAGAAGAGGGTATTTATGTCATAACACGAAACACGCAGTTCAGCTTCTTGCGGCTGCTGCAACTACTACTAGTACGCGAAACCACCGGGTGTGGCCCGTCCCTTTCCGGCGGCAGATGCGGGGGCGGCGGAGGAGCAATGCTCCGCCCTCCGGCTCTCCTCGTCTACAAACATGTGGCGGCACCGGCACTCCTCGCTGCAGAACGCCCGGTCCCCCCTGTAGACAGAGAAGCCCTCGGTTACCATGGACGTACGCGCAGATGGAGATCATGGCCAAAGTAGGTGGTTCCGTAACTCACCTGTACATAAAGATATCGCTGCCTTCCTGTAGTCTCCTCCGGCAAAGGAAGCAGTGCTCCAGAAAAGAGCTCGTAGAGAAGGAAGAAGAAGAAGAAGAAGAAGAAGAAGAGGTGTTCTTTCCGAGGGAGGTTTGGCTTATGAGGAGATGGCTGTGTGTTGGTGAGTTCTTTTGTGCTTCCAAGAGAACGCTTAGACCAGCCATCTTATCATCACCACCATTCTAAGCTGCTGCCAACAGCTCTCCTTTCTTGTGAGAAGGTGGCAAGGACGGGGGAGGGGGCTTTAAAGAAAGAGGGCAGTGTGCGGTGCACTGCAGGAACAGGCTGAGGGAGTGGAGGTGGGTGGGCAGTTTGTCTCCCTTGTGAGGGGATTTAATGGAGTGATTTGATGGGAGAAAGTGGCCTTGCGTGACAAGAATCTTGTTTTCGAAATGAATATTAATGTTGCTGGGACCAAATGCAACAAAGACGAAAGCACAAGGAAAACTAGGGGACTCCTGCTGATCAGCACATGGTTTCTAGGGTTTGCTTGTGCATGGTTTCCCTAGCATTGCATATTTTTCATGTTTCAGAGCCCTCTCCATCTCTTCGTTCTGATGATGATGGCAGCCAGCCAGCCAGACGAGATATTTGTCATGGTTCTCTTCGTCCCGATGACACCCGATTTGGATTCATGCACAAAGAATCAACAACAGCATGGAGACAACCAACCAGGGGAGGGGGTTTACTGTGGGCATATATGACTGTTCTGGCACCTGAGTCTTGATGAATTGGAAACAACATTATTGTCGTCATCGAGTCTTCTTCTGCGACGGTGTGTTACGACCAATGCACTATGAGATTACAGTGAGAGAGAACTACTGACATATATATTTCTATGCCACTCCAATCCTGCTGTCAAATCAAAACCTAATAACTTTGACTTGGGTTTCAGAATCAGGATTTCAGTTCCATCAGATTTGATATAAGAATCAAACCGGTTTTAGATGATTTTGGATTCCGATTGGAATCGATCTTAGTCGAATATACTCTGAATAGCTGCATTTTGATTGGGAAGACAAGGCTTCAATCATAGCTTCTGCAGTGATAGAAAGACTGTCATTGTGTACTTAATCCTCTCAAGATTGGTTCAGTTCCTCTTTGTTCGACCTTTGTTATAATCGTACCTGTGAGCTGTTCCTCTTTGAAGCATCACTAGTTTGGACATGCTGTCCGACGGCCACGGTGATCGGTGGATGTTCCTCGGAGGACAGACATTTATGTGGGTAATTCATCTATTTCTTCCCATGCATGTCCTTCAGAACAGAAGTCTAATCATGTGCCTCGCCAAATTAAACCCTGGGATATGGTCCTGCCTAATGGTTTTGTGGATTGTCCTTGTGTCCAAGGGGAATGAACCATGGGAAGGTCCTGTTGTGGTGACATCTACCTACCAAATTGAAAGCACACAGAAACCCAGGTATGGTCGCGGATGATGATGACGCCGGCGTTCCGAGTGGGAACTTGCCACCAAGTTGCATCGGTAATGACACCGATGATGAGAGTAATAATAATGACGGGACATGAACTAATTTCCGAATGACACGTTGATCGAGGAGCTAAGGGGTCGCCTTTCTCGATCTGACCTGACAGCTTCTTGCCAAAACAGACCAAAACGTCGACCGAGGCATGTCGTCATCCTACAAGAGCCTAGTCCTTCACGTCACGCCAATGCCGGTGTCAGACGTTATTCAAGATACGACCCTGCTCTCTGCAAGCGTGCACATCAGAAAACGTTGACCTTCCCTATAAAAACCCTCGCGTTCGGAACAATGGAGGAAAAAAAAAACCCCTAAGATTGTCGACTGACTTGATCGTCAGAGGGGTCAGGCCGAGCTCTCCTGACCCGACCCGTATGCAGGTACGAATACGGAGTGCCTCCCACCGAACGCATAGGCGAGGGGTCCCATCACGGAGAAAACAGTGACCCCGTCGATATCAGACCACCGTGGTCGGCTACCTCAGTAGCCTCAAGGGTTGTTCAGGAAGATCTCCAATCATTCAGACCCAAACCCAGTCGTGTTGGCCCGAGGCCACGACACAAAGATGTTGACACTAACAATCGGGAGGTTAAAATCAATCTCCTCTTTCGTGGTCGATGACTTGGGCCCTCCGAGCGGAGTCAGTCTGTGCAAATAGTGATTCATATTCTCATATAAAATCTATCATCAATTATTGTGTCAATTCAAATCATCCTTCACCTATTTATCTACTTAGACAAAGATTTAACAGAAATATATAAATTTTTTATCTTAAAAAAAATAATCATAAATTTTCTTCTCTATAAAAAATATAATCACAAATTCTTTTTCTCATCTTTTAATAATAAAAAATATATTTTGAATATAGGTAAAGTTATCTTTTTTTTTTTTCGAACTATTTTTATTCGTATTTAGGAATCTAGAATTACTAACTTAAACATGATCGAATTTGGAAACCTTTTTCCTCTGTATTCGTATCGTGTCAATCTAAGAATATAAATTTTTTTTTCTCAGAGATACTTTGAATAATTCTACATGGATTTAAATCACATTAAGCTGATCTAGATATAAATAATATTTTTTCGTAACAGATTCAATAAGATTAATAGATCAATTATTTTATTAAAATAAATTTTAACATTATAGATAGATAGGTGTGAATAGTCCATATCCTCACTCTTTTTATCAAATCTTTATTAAGCTTGTGTTTATATCGTTGCTTAGATATTTCTACCTTAAAACTCGTTAATCATAATAATGATTATATATATATATATATTTATATTGCAACAACAAAACTTGATGATAACATCGTACGGATTATGGCACTATTGTTGCCGTCTACATGACAATGAGATTCTCAAGCGTCCATCACATCATCGATCTACTCATTTCCCTATGCATGCAGAATATGAACCCTAAAATGCTTGCTGCCATGTCACTGCAATTGGACTTCTCACTGTGTGCTTGCCATCCGACCAACTCAGCGAGCCGAACTCCGTCTTCCATCCACCGGGCGGCAACGTAACGCCCTCGGCGGATATATTCACCACGAACCCCTGCTTCTGACGTTTGCCATGGAATACCAGCTGCTGAGGGTCCACCGCCATCTGCACTCCTACCGGTGTTCGGGTTTCGACCGTATAGGCACATGTGCCATTGGCGACGTTCGTCAGCGTCCGGTGGGCGATCACTTGAAGCTTGCTTTCCTTCGGCTGCTCCAGGACCACTGATATGGATGGGTAGTTCAGGTCCCAAGGCATTCGGCCGGAGTTCCGAGAGCAGTTCACCGTCCTCCTTGCTATCGTCCGGATTTGCATCTCGGTATAGTTGGAGCTGCACAAGAAGCTGAGGTAGTCGTCCGCCGTTAGGTCGTAGATGAGACCGGGATCGGCCGCCTTCTCCGGGTCCACGTGCCCGGACCCGTGCGCCCACGCCGTCGACCTATTGCCGGAGTTCTCGTCCAGCATCTGTTGGCCCAAGCTGTCGGTCATGTACGCCGTCGTCATCATTGCCGAGCGGACGGCGGCCGGCGACCAGTCGGGGTGGGCCGCTCTCAGCAACGCCGCCACCCCGGACACGTGGGGGCACGCCATGGAGGTGCCGGACATGACGTTGAACTCGGTCCGCCGCGCGTCCGAGGGGAGGCTCGTCGGGCCCAGGCCGAGCGGCCAGGCCGCCAGGATGCCGACGCCCGGTGCCACCACGTCGGGCTTGATGAGGTAGCACGACGGGGCGCTGGGCCCGCGCCCGGAGAAGGCGGCCACTACCGGCGCGGGCTTGACCCCGACCTGGGTCCCGCGGAAGACCAGACGGACGCGTGCGTCGGCGGTGGAGCGGACGTAGGCACGGATTATGTTCCCGGTCGAGTAGCCGACGTTGACGGCCGGGAGGAGGTGCGCGTCCGGCACCAAGCCCTCCCCGTCCAGAAACTGATTGGCCACAATCATTCCCGCTCCACCGGCCTCCTTCACGGCTAACCCCTTCTCGACGCGCGGGATGCCCCCGCGTTCACAGAGCACCACTTTACCTCGTGTTAGCGCCGGTTCCAGAGACTCCCTCATGCAGAAGTGGGCGGAGGACCGGAAACCGGGGCGCGACGTGGACGCGTTCCCCGCGTATACCAACGGGAGCTCGCCAACGAGGGAAGCGCCGGTATGCGCGTCCGCAGCATAGACGGAAACGCCGGTGAGGACGGTCCTGTCGCCAAGAACGACGTCTGCAGGGAAACGGCGGTCGATGGTGCTGGCTCCGACGGTGACGATCCATGGGGCGACGTTGGTGACGGTCATCTCGTTCGGGCCACCGTTGCCGGCGGATGCGGACACGAGAACGCCGTGCTCTGCTGCTCCGAAGGCCCCGATGGCGATGGGGTCGAGGTGGAGCGGTACGGGGTTGGATCCGACGGAAAGGGAGATGACGTCCGCACCGTCGTCCACGGCGCGGTCGAGGGCAGCTAGAATATCGGAGTCGAAGCATCCCGAGGACCAGCAGACCTTGTAGGCGGCAACGCGGGCTTTTGGAGCGACTCCGGAGGCGACACCAGCAGCATAGACGCCGAGAAGGGATGCGCCTGGGACGGGGACGCCAGCGGCGGTGGAGGCGGTATGTGTGCCGTGGCCCTCGGTGTCGATGGGGGACAGGACGTCGGAGGATGCGTTCTTCGTGGAGGCCAGGAAACCGGAGGAGAAGAAGCGGGCGCCGACAAGCTTCTTGTTGCAGGAAGTGGGGGGGAAGGACGGGCCGGGCTCGCAGGCGCCCCTCCACCGGGGTGGCATCTGGGTGGGTCCCGTCTCGGAGAAGCTGTGGTGGTCGGGGCGGACGCCGGTGTCGAGGACGGCGATGACGGCGGAGGATCCGGAGTCGGTGGCGGAGAGGAGGGAGTTGGGGCGGAAGGCGGGGGATAGCAGACCAAGGAATTGGGGGGAGCGGGTGGTGTGGGGGCGTTGGCGGCGATCGGGGAAGACTGCGAGGACGCCAGGCTGGGAGCTGAGGAGGTCGGCCTCGGCGGAGGACAGGACAGCGGAGAAACCGTGGAAGACGGTGCGGTAAACGTGGAGAAGGGCCCGCGGGCGGTAAGTCTCCCGGGCGGGGTTTTCATTTACGGCGCTGGAGGAAGAAGAGAGGGAGCGGAGGGTGGCGGAGTACCAGTGTTCAACTTCCGGGTAGACGGAGGGTTTAAGGTCACTGCGGACGCGAACTATATAGGTTTGTGGGGTGTGAATCTCGTCGAGGCCACCTTCTTCCTGTTGGAGAGTGGAGGAGACGAGGAGGAGTAAAGCCACGGGAAGGAGAAGGAAGAACGGAGCTGAAGCCATCTTTGAGTTGAGGAGGAGGAGAGCGGGACGTGGGAAGAAGACCGGGGAGAGTTCTCGATATAAACTTGAGGCCCTTCGGGCAGGGACGATAAGAGAAGAGATGCAGGGGTGAAGTGATGTTCAAATCATTGCTGCATTAGTTGGCGGGCGGTGTTACTACGGACTACAACCTATGTCTCGATGCGACTAATCCTTGCCACACGTCTATTCTCGTTTCCTGCACGTTGAAAGAGAGGACGGGCGAGTGGTCAATGACGAGCAGCATCAGGCAAGTCGGGGATTGCAGACCAGTTCCTCGTATCCTCGGAACGACGCCAGCCTCCTGAGTTTGATCAGATCACACACGATGAGAGAGAGATGGGAGATTTTGACTGTGGGTTGTAGTGCTGCCACTGCATGCGGACTCTGAGTTACGCTTTCGTCATCGTTCCGGCGAGCTGTAACGCATGAATAAATAAATAAATAAGTGGACGACAAAATATGTTGTATTATCCGGACACTATGCCCATTAAAATCAATGGTTGGTTCGATGTAAGATTCGATCAAATTGCAGGTGAAGAGAGTACCACCAAGTGACACGTCTACTATATTATTTGATCTCAAACATGCAACATTAGACCAAATCCTGGGCAAGAATACCATTATTTCAAGATACTGTTAGCGGAGGATGATAAAACAGAGTGATCTCTCGTGCAGGTATTGATCGGAAAAAGATAAAACCGAGATCGTTCACCTGCCTGCACAAAGGTGGGAACAAATATTTTCCTACACCAGCAAAATCAAGAAGGAAAATGTAAAATTGGGAGACACAAAATAGATAAAAAAACCGAATAGAGAATCTATAACCAAATATTCGAAACAAGGCTTTAATAGCCTCGCCGTAAATATATGGCCCTCAAGAATCACTCTGAAAACAAGGTTTTACCAAGCCTTGAGAACCAACATGACAACCCAGCTAAACAAGTACCTGCTTTTTATCCCATCTCAATATTCCACTTCTTGACACTGAAGATAACGAGTGCAGATCGTTTAAAAAACAAAAGCACCGTGCTGGAAAATGTTAAGCTGGTTTCGTATTCACGCGTGATCTCAATTTTAGCAGAAAATTTACATCTAGAGGAATCATGATACAGCACAAAGGAACTCTCACAGTTGCTACATAATCTTAATATCTGAAACCTAAATTTACAAATGCAGTAGAAAGCGAGAAACCATCTGGTTGCAGGTCCACTCGAAAATTGCAATGAACGAGCTATATGTATACAAGTCACGAATTTCCTCCTACAATCATGCTGGTGTACAATATGAAGAACTTAAGGTAGGCGGCAGAACACAAACCAAGTGAGGCCCTGCTGGATTGCAGCTAATGTTTTCATCACCAAGGCCTGGCAAACCTAGGTGAGGTGGGCGAACATGACCAGATATCAGAGGCATGCACGTCACGGTGATTTCAATTCTTGAACCTGCAGTACTTATATACATTAACCCATTGTCTGTCTGTGATTAACAAATTGACAAGGAGGAAAGTTAGTATGAAACAAAACAGAAAGTAGACTGTGAACCTCGTGCATTGGATAATGATATGTGTCCTCGCTTCCTCCCAGCAATCATCCAGATTTCTGGGTTAGCATCAACTTCATAAAGCACCTCATCCTGTAGCATCAATGGCATTTCCAATGTGAATATATAAACTATACATACATTCTATAATAACATGAAAACTTCACAATGATTCCCCATAATGCAATTGGTGTCAGAACATGTCCCAGTTGACAGGCCAATGTAAGCTTAACATAGGTACATTTGTTTAAAATGTTGTGCTACTTGTAGTCAGGTATTACACACAATATGGACTATTGTTGTACATCTATCACAGCAAGCAACAAAAATACATGAAACGAGTTACTTGGTCCAAGACAAAATGGAAATTTTTTTCCAAGTGTAACTACAGCACATTGATTAACAGAATACTAATGTAAGAAACTATATCAAAACTTTGGCTTGACAAAACATATATAGTGTATAACTACAGCACATTGATTAACAAAATACTAATGTAAGAAACTATATCAAAATTTTGGCTTGACAGAAAACATATAGTGCCATCCATGGTCAGACTCCTGAGATTATTAAGTATTTATTGTTAGCTTGGAGGTTTCAAATACCAATTGGATTGGTACATACTGACCGCTATTTATTGGTTTGACCACAAATCAAAGCTGGACCATATAGCTTGATACCAATCAGTATTCTATCTTTATCATTTTGTTTTTTCAAGTTGCATAAATCACCTCTCTACTAGCAGGGTTAATGTGGGGCTTCCTAGACTCCCGTATTTACAAGAGCAAGGTTTATTTACTTCATTATGAAATAATTAAATCCTCACATGTTATCAGACATCTATAGGACCTCTGAATTTGGAAATTTGCTCATTTTATGAGACTCTCAGTAGTTACATTACCTGAAACCTTCAATTTCTCAAAGATCCATGTTGCAGTATAGACCTCAGTAAGAAACCTTGTTATTCATCAAATAATTTTAACAATTGGAAATTAGATGAATCAAACAATTGGAAAGGCATCTCACGATTAAAAGGTCCGACATTCCATTGATCAAACAAAGACCTCATTATTGGCTCTTCAGAACCTCTAATGTGGACTTATATCCATCAGAAACTACCAAAGAGAAAATTCCTAACGTTCAAGCGTTAAATGGTTTGAAGAACTTACATTACATGAGGAAGATGGGCTGGCTTCCATATCTTTCAACCTTTCGACTCTCCACTTCATACTAACCAGTTGTCCAACTTGCAGACAATCCGAAGAAAATGGAATAAAACCAACTGCTACACATGGATCAAGTACAGGCCGTTGTAAAGCAATTGCAACCTTAAAATGCAATTTCTCATTGCTTTCAGATTTCAGTGGTGCAGGTGCATGTGCTCCATTAGTTCTATCACCAGAGATTCCATACATAATATTCAAGATACTTTGTGTTTGCAGCAGTTCTGTCTGATCTGCTAAGCAAAATAACAAGATGAGTAAATAGATCATTGAAACCTACAAGAAAAAAGCTCTGAGAGGATACACTTGTAATAAACGGCAATAGAAAGCTACAAATACATAGAGCATATCTTACAACGGGATGAAGATAATAGTTGCCATCACTAGCTAACATACAGACTTCACAATATTTTGTGTATCAAGTTGACTGCTGTAAACTTCCCATTCAGACTAAACTGCTACATGTGAACTTCTCAGTCATAGCAAACAAAAATAAAAAAATCAATACCTTATCCTTCTTTGCAATCCATTAGTAGAAGGAGAAAATTTTTTCTATTAGAATAAGATTCTTGTTGCATTCTTAAAGGCCATTAAGAAACCCCATTAAAACAATGCAGCTTCTCTCTGTGCCATTTCTGAATAATTATGATTTCTATTATAGTAAACTTAAAATTCAAATCATGCAACACATCGTTGATGTACATGATGCCAATATCCTGATGTATACAACAATACCTAGCCTTGCACATGTTTTCCAACATATATACACAAAAAGCACACCAAAAAGGCAAATAACATAGCATGCTTATAAGTTGGAAGCATCTCTAGTTTTTACCATTGCTAAAATTCCACAAGAAATATTATCATGCGTCTATGAGTTTTGCCTAAATGATACATTCAAGATTGCATTAAAGCATCAGATGTCCCCCAGGGGAAACTATAACTCTGAACATGGAAGCATCACCATAAAAAATATCTAATGGAGTTTGGCTCTCTTTGCCTACATCCATTATTGCAATTCATGTCTACACATAAATATCAGCCATTCACAGATACATAATGAAGGCTTAAGATTAGCTATTTATGAAGATCCAACATGGCACAAAATTTTCTCCCTTCTAACACCACAAAAAGAAGCTCATTATTCAGTGTTATATGTTTAAAGATGACAGGCCATTGAAAATAAAATAAAATTTTTTGAACAGATTGGTAGCTGTATCACATATATTTGAATAGATATGAACACTCAAAAGGAAAATAGACATATAGGGCAAAATTAAATGTGTAAAATTGCATTAGACCATTAATGAAAAATAATACAAGGTACTATTTCTCTCTGAAGAACATAAAGGATTTTATTAATCCCAACAAATTGAGCTATAGAGATGACACATCCAGTGCACAAGCACAACATGACTGAAACAAGAAGGCAGCTCACATGAATGCATGGCACCACTAGAATAAAAATAATTTATATGCATACATAAGGAAATAACAAAAGTAGAAAAATCAGGAAAAGCACCTACAAGCAAGAAAATAAATACACTTTACCTCCAAAAGGCATACTCTCTATGCAAACGCTAAACAAGATTCCTGCTGTAGAAGATGGCGAGATGACAAGTGGGAAGAAACCTGAAACAGGTCTTCCATTTGCCTTTCCAACATGGACAAATCCAGGTTGTAGATCTAACCATGCATCATGTAGGTACAAAGTAGCCTTTACTTGAGAGTGTATCATCACCTAGATGATCAGATAAATATTCAGATTAGGCAAATTTAGGCAGTGAGAATTACACCTTGAACTATTGATCAGAAAGTAAAACAATTGACATCTTTCTTTTCAGTAAGTAGTGGCAGAAGTTTTCACATACTTAGTTGAAACAAATACTCGAATTTTTCAGCAAGATCACATGTAAATAGATGACAAAACCAGACTTGCAAGAAATTCATGTTGAAAGCTACCAGATGATAGCCATCAAAGTAGTTTTAGTGCTTGTTCAATAAAAAACAAAACCAAAATAACCACCAAATTAGAGATCCAGAGAACAAAATTAATGCTTCAACATGAACCATCCATCTCAAGCATGTACCACATTATCTGAATCTAAAGCTGAAAATGATCAATTTTGATACCCACAAATTGCTCTCTCCAGTGAATATAGCAACAGGCATTGACTGCCAATAAACCAAGCTCACTGGTAGTAACCAGGACGTATGAGATAACCATTATAAATTTGGAAATACCAAGATATTCAAAGACTCAAGAATCGTGGAAGTTTAAGAAAATAGATGACTACTACAAGGACCTAGAGAGAGAGAGGCACAGTCAAACTGCAACAAATAAAAGTCTTAAAATGTTCTTGAAAATATGAATTATATGTGCCAGCTGGTATACACATGTCTGCACTAAGCATGAGAAGGGAATGAAAACGTAACTCCAGCTGGCACAGAGCCCATGTCAGTTGGTCCATCCATGTGAACCAATACTAGTAGATTACAAACATGAGGGTGAGCCATGAACATAAGAGTTTTGACAGTCTTAAAGATGAGAATAATGACACTATTAATTCAGAAGCTCAGCAACAATGCAATTAAATTTAAGTAGTCATACCTGCAAAAGTAAAGTGCCATCATTGCATTTATCGGAAACACGTGTGGTAACATGGAATGGGTCAGTGAAATGCACAGCAATGGTCCTATTTTAGATCAATAATGTATTAGGATGCCAAAGTGTAACCAGAGAAAGATTGACATCTTATATACAATGATGAGAAAGGAAAAGAATAGAAGTTGCCTTTCAAATATTTGATTGCGGAAAGCTCCAAATTCGAGTTTCAGAGCAATTGTTCTCATGCCATCAACGACACTCTGTCTCTGAGGACAATCTGAATATAAAATTTATTCACAAACATTAAATCTAGTCAGGTTTCCATATTATCATTATATTTATGAGAAATGACTATCAAACCTGCTGATGCTCCTACAGCCATCCTGTCATCAATAGCACGAACCGGAAACCATAACACAGTAGTTATATCACTGGCCCAATCCGGCAGTGCTATTTTACCATTTTCAAGCACAAATTGTTTAAATTCAACAGTAGAAATAGCATTCTCCCTTGTAATGTCTAATTCATCTGCATGAACTTTATCCTCCATTGGCTTTACATGGTCGTCAATCTCAATCATATGAGATTCGTCAATCATCAAGCCAGGACCAGTATCTATACTTAAGAGAGCACCTTTAAGCGAGTACTTTATTGGTTTTACAATTAATCCAAGCCATTGAATTTCATTCATTAACAAAGCTGATGATACTGCAGCAGCAATATCGACTAAAGGTCTTGGCTTGAGCACCTGATGAAGAAGAAAGAAGTCACATAAGTAGAAGAATAATATGATATATATTCTGCTGCTATACATACTTGCAAAATCTAATGCCAATTAGACCCTCTTTTAACCTTTTTTTATGCATAAAATATCAAAACACTGGACCTGAACAATACCACAATTCATGGAGATTATCAAGTATCTAAGAAAACAAAATCTACCCTAGACATATATGGGGGTAATGGAATTATTTAACAATTTTAGCAACCAAAACTTTACCTTCAGTACAGGTCTGGTTGGTTTCTCATAACTCATAAAATCATCACTATCAAGGGGTCCACCTTTGGAAAAGCTATGGGATCTAAATCCCAAATTGCCAATCTGTCCTGTAAGAACTCCCAGGACATAGGATCCTGGCTTTTGTGGAGGAACATCAAGAGTGATGACATTTCGACCTGGTTTTAATATGTGGGCATCTGAGCTGTTTATTGTCTACAAAATAAAAAAATATAACAAAAAGATTATTATGTTGCGCATCTGAGATTTTTATTGTCCACATACAAAAACAAATCAACAAAATCCTAAACACCATCAAATAAACAACAAAATACATAGTATTGACAAATCTAATGTCTTTTAAACAAAATTCTACTGACATTCATCATTTAATCCCTTAAAAGAACACATATAATCAAAGTCCAATTATGCACATGACTAACTCTTAACAGATTGCTAATAGATTGTTAAACAAACCAATCCCGAAATTATTAGATCTTTTGCTATCAAGTTTAATAGCAAATTATCTATGACACAGAAGAATTATTGACTCAGCACTAGTAAGCAAACCTTGACACCTTCGTCTGCATTAAAAGTTGCCATCAGTGTCAAGCTAAGAGACTCCAAAATGATCTCATCAGGAAAGCCATTCCACACACTTACGGACAGTGTACCAGGGTCCCCATCACATAACTCAAGTGGTGGACCAGGATTGCCAGAAAATGTGATCAGCGATGAAACATCAAGGGGTACTGGGTGTTTCATCTCGCTATGAGCAAGATGTACAACCTCTGACTGGAAAACTTGTCGTTCCTTAGTCAAGAATAAACCATTCTCTAGAGATAACAACCGAACACAAGATGACAAATAGCCAGCTTCATCATTAAGAATTTTCTGACATTCTGCAAGGTTGGGAAGAACTTCAGCCAAGAGGTCTTGCCATCCTTCCCCAGCATAGAGAGCACAAACCTTCTCATATGACTTTGCAGCCAAATCATAATTTCCATTCTTAAAGCATAAAGCTGCAATCTCTCCATCAAGAACAACACCATGCCTCTTCCACCATGAATGGTGGTAATTATCAGCAGCTCCTTTTGTTAGTTCCATATATTTTTTCTGTCGAGAGCAAAATAAATATAAATACATAAGCGAAGCACATTATACTACAAGTTATTAAACCAAATATACATGCAGTTTATCATAGAAAAGCTAATGAGATAGAGATATGGGGAACAATTACACTTCAAGACAAACTATAACAAGAAATCCAAATCCCCAAATGAGCTTAGATCCAAGATCATATATGTTTGACAAAGATAACTTGGAAGGATAAATTAATAAGAATTTGATTCATCTCTCTAGTAATCAGATGAACCAAATTGTAGACAAGAATAATAAGAACCAAGGTGAAGAGACGAATTTAAATCATGCAGTAACTCACTTTTTAAAACGTTGCACGAACTGCATTAGGTGCAGCATTCCAAAGAAAAAAAGGCTACTGATTGGTTGGGTATTCTAAATATTATCAGGGGCAGAAAATGATGGGATTTATCTTTTGATGTAGTAAGAGAAGAAAATGCAGCTTGGATTAGAAAAACAATATTCAGTTGAGAAAAATGTGATTTTCATTAGTGAACAATGTAAATAACACTAACCTCAAATTCCTCCAAAGAAGACAATGATTTCAACAAATCAGGATCGGTAATTGTCCGCTTGAGTGCATGCTCTGCTGCAACATGGATTTCTGATAATCTCATAGGGCGATCAAGTGATACAGAGCTCTCAAAATTTACTGGACCAGAGTAGGTTCGTGGCATAGGGCTTGCATAAATTTTACTTGGTGGACTGAATCTTTGATATCCATCTAGACCTGAACTGCCCACATAAGAAATGCAAATAGAATAAGAACCAAAGTTTTGTTCCTTTAAATGGATAAACGTTGGTGACAAAGCCATTTTTGCCACTTATATATATTCCTGGTCTGGTTTTAAAATCATTACCCATCAGTTGGACGGACATCAAGTAACTCAGATGCATTTCCAACAGAAAGGGAAGCCCTTCGTCGATTAGCTTCTCGTAGAAGTGATGAAGGCTCTAGTGGCAATGGTTTTCTCTGAATACTGAAGTGCTTCATTCTAGGATTTGCTTGAAGAATCATCTGCCAACATAAACAAAAGCTTAACACTAAACAACAGTACAGCGTTGCAAATAGATATAAATTCACAGATGATATAACTAGATCAAGGCCTAGTGATCTATCAAAATAAGGGTCTTTATATCTGAATTTGTTACTCTATGTGGGTGGAACAAAACAGAGTCTTTATATCTATAAAATAGGTTGTTTTTCCTGGTACCCAAATATTCTGATCCATAAAGCACTAACCTTACAACTGTCTTAGTTTTAATCTAAGGGGAAAATGAGGACCACACAATACTGTGATACTTTTGTCCACTTTATTCATCATGCTAGATAATTCTTAATCAAAATTTCCATTCTGCTAAACAATGGAACCAAAGTTTCTAGAACTTTAATTTTGGAAAACTTCTAGTCTATCCATCTCAAGTATACCTTTACTTCTTCTCTTGTGTTGCTCAAATGCTATCAGCAAACAAAATACAGCAAAATAAAATTAACCTAAATATTCTGAGTAAGTTTGTTCATTATAAATACAAAAAATATAAGGACTTAATTTTTTTTATGCAAACATATAATAATACAAAAAAATTACTATCCTAATACTCCTCTTGTCCTTGATCGCATCAATATACTGTTTATCTTAAACATATCATATTATATCTCTAGGAACTTTGTGAGCTTTGTCAAAACAATGTATACATTATTTCTTTTTCAAGATAAATAACTAGATTTAGAAAATATTCAGGTCAACAAGACAACTAACTTATCATTAATACATAAATCCAAGTCATGCCATTCAGAAACATGATAACAAAGCGAAAGGAAAAGAAATGCTTGCCTTCTCCTTCGCAAGCACTTCAGCCGAAGCATCTGCTGGGACAGATGGCCAAACAGCTGGCTTGGGCCAAGGCAACATGCTTAAAGAGGCACTGTTCAAAAAAATTCAAGATAAAAAGATTACGATATGTAGAAGAATAAAAATAATTTTAAAAAGAAAGTGTACAATCAAATTAGAACTATAGCTGTATTAAATAAGGCAAAGAAAGAATATAATCAAACTAAACTTATAGATGCATTATAATAAGACCAAAACCAAATCAGGTGTTGTCGACCACTGTACCTGTTTACAGAACTTTTTTCAATTTCAACTCCATACCCAATCATATATGCGAGCCTCATAAACTGTCACATACAACAATGTTTTAGTATAATATGGTTTCAGTTGCAGCAACAGTAATATTCCAGAAAATATCCTAACAGAAAAAGAATATGGCAATGTTCACACATATACTTCGGATATAATATAAATCAGGAATCAAGAGAACATAAATTTTACTTTGAATAATACAGGGCTAAGCAAGCAAGGTCCATTCATCAGGAACTGTGGTCTCAGTGTACATATGCAACATCCCTTCATTTGCTCAACTTCAGACCTCTAGAAAAGCTAACTCTAATTGAAATGCTTGAGGGAAAATGATGCCCTTATTTTTAATCTAAGATGATATAGTGAACATTTGTCTTGCAAGATTATCAGATAAAAAAAATATCCATATTGACCATGTAAACATTATGCAATTAAAAGGCATTAAGACAACTGTATTTGCTTATACCGTCAATTTGAGCAAATAGCTAGTTTAACATGCTGCTAACTGGACCTAAGATATGTCATCCCTAAAAACTTAATGTTGCCACAGCTAATTCTCTATCACTTGATTAAACTTAGGGTGAAGTACAGGCTGGAGTCAAGCCAACTTATGCATAAATCCATGCAAACCTTGTTAGAATAAGCTGATTCTTCAAAAGGGAAAAAAATAGCAATTTCAAGGAGCAGGAGAACCATCAGCCAACATTTGCCTCAAAGAAGCCCAAAAGAATTTTTTCCCCTTAAATGTCAATTTCTAGGAATAGGCAAATTAAGGCAGTGACACACTTTAAGAAAATAAACACTTGTTAAGCAAATAAGTTATATGAATCAAACTCTACCTTAACTCGGCAAAGCGAATAAAGATCGCCCTGGAAACGGTAGAATTCCTTTTCAATATCTGGTGCTGCCAGTTCACCATCATAAATAGATGAAATTGAACTAATAATAGCTAAGCAAGCAGTTATCACCCACACCTCCCTCAAACAAAATGGTAGAAATTTCTGAAAGAGTAGAAAACAAACAGATGTTATATGTAAACCTTTCACAAGATGTGGCATATTGAATAAGTTTAATTAATTGCTGAAATTCCACAAATACTTCAAAAGTCACATAAAGGCAGATAATACAACAGGGTTGAACCACATACTTCATGCAAGGCCAATGTCTTTGAGAAGCTGATAATAAATGAATAGCCCCTCGCGACAACCTCTACTGGACGGCCTAATTTAAATAGTAGCTGCAAGATTAAAAAAGAGGCCAAACCCCAGACTAAGTACAGGAATGGCTTGTTATAGACTAAACAAAACATAGAAAGAATGGCCTCAATGTCAAATACACCAAAATAACTTTGAAAATGCATTAAGTACATAAATGCATTGGGTGGCATATAAAAGGATTCTAAACATGACTTACGAACTACAAAAAAATTATCATGCTAACTTTTGATTTTGATGATATATTGACAAAAGATCAGCTAAATTATATTAAACTGTTTAATAATGTGATGATATAACTCCCAATCACACAAAAGAGTATTAGAACATATTAGAGAAATCAAGATGCCACCTAATCCACCCAGAATATCATATGACAACTATAAAGCAGCAAAACTACAAGATACAGTGAGTCAAAAGCCAAAAAAACCTCGGTTTGTGAAAGTTGGTACAGTAAATAAAGGTTGTCAACTTAAATTTTGCCTGAATATGAATTAATTAATAAGCTTTAGTTTGACAATATTGAAAGTTATATGATGCTACAAATATCATAGCTGTAAAGAATGACCTTGGTTATGCTCAACTGATTATTACAATATAGTTTCAAAATTACCTTTCAACTCAATTCACAGCACATATTCAGATCAAGATACAAAATATAAGAAGCTATATACAATGGACAAACCTTCAATTGGCATGCAAATAGGTATTGTCTGAATTCAAATTCTCGGAATGAATCATCCTGGACAATTTGTGATAGTGGTTTGAATTCAGGCTTCAAGAGAGCAGCCTGATCATCACCCTGTTCCAGTCCTCCAAAATCCCTCTGTTTTCCAGGAGTATTAACTGCATGTGTAACAAGTTACAGAATGAGTCAATTTATCCCCTTTGTGTGATGATCACACAAGCAAATTAAATCTTGGACTTTCCTACACACAAATACTAGAGAAAACATTTGTATGAACTATGAACTGTTCAATAGTGTTAAAATTTTGCAACGAAAATAAACAGTATATTACTACTAGCTACGGAAAAAATGATTGTCAATAAAGCATATCTTTTATCTTTACAATTCACAAAAAAGGCACAAGCACCACATAGAAGTTCTTTTGCAATGAATCATAATAAAAAAAAACCTGAGCGGAATGGGGCAGAAAAACACCACAGTATTAGACTGTCTACTTGACATGACCACTACTATAGACAATATTTTATTTTTTTATGAGTAATGGTTTTTTAATATATTTCAGACCTGGATACAACAACATAAATCCAATTTTAAAATAATAGTACAATATTTCTGCACAATGCAGCTCCTTGAATTTATCTAGAAATTTTTTATTTGTTAAGTAAATCATTTGATCTATAAAGATCAAACAAGCAGCTAGTTTATAATAAAAAATTCACTTGAGACTGGGATTCATCATCCATTGCACTGTGAGACACATATGTCTTCTATAAATATTGCTTAACTGTAACAAAATTTTAAAAGAAGAAATGCATCATAGCTATTGCTAGAAATAAGAATATATAATAGAACGCTAAACTCTATCACACGGGTGTTGTTCAGGCATACAAGATACAACCTGATGTAGTGCACAAATATCTGTAATACAATATTAAACAATCAACAAACACATGCATACAAAGATAAACATGAAAAACACATAAAAAATGCATGTGTATTCATGTGCATGCATAAATATCCATTCAGACATAAAAGTTAATGCACACACATATTTGTGATTTGCCACTTTCCATTGCATTTTTATGTATTTGATGATTCCTTCACAATTTTCAAATAGAAAACCTTTACTATACAAAGATTAATCTTAAAATTATTAGAGAAATGTTCTACAATTCTGCAAAGAAAAGGAAAATTATATTAACCTGTTTCCGTATAGCAAAGTTCAAGTTCATCATATTCACGTAATGAATCTTCATGAAGATGAGCCATCTCAAACATGAAAGCCAAACTCTCCTGAAAGGAGAAAAAGAGTGCTAAATCCAGTGAGGGATTGCAAGAATTACATGTTTGGGCAAAAACCATAGTAAAATTTTAGTTATTCCTTATTGACCTAGATAGCACCAGCATATGTGACTGGAAGAAGGTACCTTCAATATAAAGAAATTACAGAAGTTCCACACTGGCATTAAACGTTGCTCACTCATCTTCCTTATTTCCTCTTCATAAAACTGAACACGCCTATCCAATGTATTTCTGATAGATTCCACTATCTTGGAGTCAAAGTCTTCCCAAAAACTTGCATCTGCTCCATTTAAGTCTAACTTGCAGCATCTGAGGAAAACATTGAAAATCCCACCAAGATATAACACATCCAAATACCAAAAATGTTCTTGTATTAAATTCCAAACGATAAAGAGAACTAAAACTCATTCTGTTCACACTTCATATAAATATGAAGCTGTATCACTAATTCTAATTAACTGCAAAGACATCTAATCACAAATCAACCACAGCCATGAAACTTAACCTACCATATCGAAGAAAGGATTATGTAAAATCAATGTATGAATAATATATACGAATAATGAAAATATACTATATACCTCTCCCTCTTTTTGGAGCTAAAATCAACCTCCAGTCTAGCATAAACCTTCTTTGCCATCTTAGTTGCTTGGTCATTGCTGGGATGAGCCTTTGACACATATATAATGAACCATTCTCGCTCCTCATTTTGCACAATTAATTTCAGCCTTGGTTTTAAGATTGTCTTAAATTCATCAAGATCCTGATAGAAGATTGGGACCGTAACAATAAGGAAGTAGTGGCAATCACAACAAACATAAACTTAACCCATGACTAAGAGCATTTTACAAATTGACAAAATAATACAGTGGTGCAATGTTTTGCACCAGAACAAATACCTCACAACTAACAAGGACAACCGTTGCATATGGTTCGCGAAACCAAAATAGGTACTGCTCTTGGGGAAAACGACTACGTAATCTTGCATCCGTGGTTAATATGAACTCAGCAGGAAGATTCTCCACATATACAGGATTCCTTGTCTTGTTATTTAAACAAGCCTTCTTCAATGGTAAACGTGCTTCAAAACCTTCTTTTACACTAGGCCACAAGTCACTTACATCTTCAACTGAACAGAAAAAGACAATAATTAATAATTAGTGGGAGAACATAGAAAAACAAAAGTATAAAAGCACGACACCTTTTGAGAATCCATAACACAAAACACAATAATATAATCATTCCTAATACCAAGAGATGTTTGTCACTTTCCCAGTGATCTAATAATACAGAATCCAGAAAATTTCAGCTCAAGACATCTCTAGTCTTGTCAGACAAGTTAATACTTGGAAAAGAAAACTGAGACAAAATATTATAATAAATAAAGCACTTCTGCATCATTTACAACACAGCCACCACTCCTAAAGTAAATCTCAGAGTGTTTATACAAATACAGCCAAATGATTAAGTGGAAAACTTGAGAAAATAAAAAAATCACAGATCTTCGATCACCTAGAACTATAATATTTGATTAAAATGTGATAGAAACACAGAAGACGACTTAGGGCTACAAAGTAGTATACATTTTGTTGCAACGGGAATGAGAAAAAAAGAAACGTTTGTGGTGAGAAATCTGCTTTTACACTGTTTACTAGTTACTTTACATCGTTGACATATAATTTTATTTAATGAATTATAAATATTATTGATAAGAAAAATAGACAGAAAGCTTTTTTTTTTTTGTTTCATTGCAGTAGTAATTTATAAGCTTCAGTATCCCAGATGCCGATCTCATTTTTCCGCAAACAAGCTTCGACCATAATTTTATCCCCATTTACTAACAAAACTAACGGCACGAACCCAATGCATCTGCGGAGGGAGAATTCACAGCTCGTATTGGTACCACCAACTGAGGACACAGGAAAAAGAATGCACTCCAACCACTGGAAGCCCTAACTACTGAAACCTTGGTCACTGACTATATGATCACGAGACGATAAATGCAAATTCCGCAAATGAAGTCACAGATTGAGTGGCGGATACCGCCTATGACAACAAAGATCATGCGGCACTCCAGATTTGCCAGGCATCGAGCAGGATCGTAAGAATATTTCCCCAGCCAACCAAGAAAAGAACCGACAGGCGCAGATCAGAACAGATCTAGGGTTTTCTTGACTTGGGATCAGAATTTAGAGGGGTACCTGAAACGACGAGGCGATCGCTGGAGCTCTTGATGGCCTGGAACTGGGCGAGGTAATTCGCCATGGCGGCGATCACCGGGCTCGCATCCGGCGGAGGCGGTCGGGGCAGCGAGATCGCCGCGGAAGCCGCAACAGCGATCTCGGAAGCGGAGGAGGATCAAGGCCGATGTGAAACGTTTCCTATAGACGAATGCCCATTTATAAGAGGGACAGCGAGGTGAACTCGAGTCTATCGACTCCGAGACTAGATCTAGTAACACACAGCGGCGGGTAAATAAAATTAATATCAAATATTGTACAAAAATATTCATCAAGAAAATAATATAAAGACAAAAAAAGAGAGGATAATTTCCTCCAAAAAAATTTCATTAATAAAATTTTCCCAGATGACTCCGCTATGTTTCTTTTTTTCCAGGGCACTCCTTTTATTAAAAATATCCTTTTGATAATCGATCGATCTGATTTAAACCCGATCAACTCGAGTGCTAGTTCGATCTGAGCTAGGTCTCGATCCAAATCGATTGGATTTTGGTTGAATTCTTCGAAACGGATTCAGGTCGAATTCTAAGCAGGTCAGGTTGAGTTTAAATTAAAATACAAGGGATGCGAACCAACGAGAGTTATATTGAATGAGTGATTTTGTAAGTGATGACGATGAACGATGGTCCTTTCCTTTCCTCTTTTCTTCGGTGGCAAACATTGATGACATCCTCCCCTTTCTTGCGATGAAATCCTCCCCTCTCTCATAGTATTGACCAGTGTAACTTGCGCTCTTATTTGTGACATCCTCTAGTGACCTCATCTGTTTTTCGATTGTTAACATGTGATCCTTTTCGTTGGAGATGACATCATATCACAGATCGCAAAAGTAAGATATTGAAAAGAACTCAAATTTTTGATAGAGTTGTCAGTGTTCATCAAGACTATATAAGATTGAGAAATTAAATTATTTCAACTTTTGAAACTATTTAAATTGTTTTATTTTACTTGTTGACATCAGTATAAAAATGTTAAAGCATTGTTATATATCATGTTCTACGATTTAAAATAATTGATACCCAACTAAGCGTATAACACTTTTAGAAATATTTGATGAACAGTAACTTAGGGACCTTCACAAATAACATGATAACCATAAAAAAAATTAATGAGGGATTTGACCACTTATTAACTCTAAAATAATAAAAAAATATAAAAATTAATACAAAACATATTACAAGATGATATTATAGTTTTAGATAAGTTTGAGTAGGTTTGAGGATAACTGAAGATATTTAAACTTGAGTTATAATTAAGTCGCATTGGATCATAGATTTAATATGAAAAAATTATATTTCACCAATTAATGACCTAAAAAATAAAAAAATAGAAAAACTAATACAATACTATTAGAAATATATTATTATCATTTATGAGAAGTTTGAGTAAATTTATGGATATCAGAGATATTTATACTTGAGTTACACAAGTTACACTAAGGTCACTGGATCACATATTTAATATAGGATCCTCTAATTAATGGAGTAGTTTAAGTAGATTTGAAGATACTTGGAGATATTTATACTCAAGTTACACTCAGGTTATACTCATGATATACTATATCACATACAATGTAGGAATCCCCTATTTCATCAATTATTGACTCAAGAATTTAAAAAAAAATATAGTGATACTAAACATGTTAAGATAATGTTATAATAGTTTCTAAGAAATTAGGATAGTTTTGAAAATATTTTTTTATTTATACTAGCGTAACACCGTCATTATACTTGAGTTATTCTCAATCATAAACTTGATTTTAGTTCCTTTAGTTAGACATATTACTTGAGTGGAATATAAGGGTGTTGAACTCTCTAATATGTTTTGTGACATATCTATGTTTGAATTTATCTTTTTTTTTTTATCCACAAACTTTAGATATAATGTCCTCTATTTATGATCAATAATTTTAGAAATATATAGAGAATGACATCATTACATAGATTCCTTCGACTTGGTGAAAAAAAAGATAGAAAAAATTGTTAATGCAAGTAATCATTATTAAGTTATATGCAACTAATTAAATTTTATTTTCAGGTTTAAAATCAAAGAAGTCAAAGAAGCTTTAAACACTTACTCCTTCTTCACCCCCCGCTACATCACTCTCTCCTGTTTCACCCCCTCCTTCACCATCATATCCTTCCTCAGTTACCACTAAACCCCATTCATAATCCGTATGAATGATCATTGTTATATTGATTATTTTAGATATTTTATTTATGAATCTAGTGTTAAGAGTTGAGCTAACCTAATTTTCATTCCCCTAAGGTTTATCATCATCGTGTTCTTATAACATTTTTTTTTCTAGCCGATATTCTTAGCATTTCTACTTGTCCATCTACTTTGTATAATATTTTAGATTATTAGACCTAAATGTTCAATTTTATATTTGATAGTGTCTTAGTCGAGTTTAGCCCTAGTGATGTTGCTCTAATTTTGTGGGTTCCTAACCGTGAGAAACTCATAGATGCTGAAGCTACAACTTTGAGTTACCGTTTTGAGATGTTCTTTAAAAAAATAACTTTCTAATAGACAGAATATAAAAATTTTGATATCAAAGTTAGTTTTTAATGATGTTGATGTTGACGTTGTCGACTTTTGTCAATTGTATATTTTGTATATATTTGTTTGTATTTAGTTTTGTCAAACTAGCTATACATCACCCCCGCATTATTATCTTATGTCGATAATTTGGATTTGTTGACTAAATAGAATTGGGTGATGGTTATTCATTCTAATATCGCTCTTAAGATTTCGACTATTGATGCTAGTATAGAGAAGGTAAAATTGAAGGTAACATCGAGAACATTGGCTATTAATTTTGATTATTAATATTCATTAATTTTTTTTATAGATTTGGTTATATAAGCATGTCAATTTGTTTATGACATTTCATTATCCAGATCATCCTCACCTTTGGAAATGGGTCAGGTGAGCATGAATAACTAAATTATTATCGGTTTAAGGTTATAGTTAATAACTGAGAACACAATAAATATTTATTTATAAATAATCATTCAGTTAGAGATATGAACATGCTTTATAAATTTATATACATTTATTATACATATATCTCAAATGCTCACTTTGACTCCTACCGAGAGGTATAGTAGTTTAGTGTTTTGCATCTTACAGATTTAAAATATATTATTTTTTTTAATATATTAATTATTTTATAAGACACACATGTGTGATCTAGAGAAAAAAATACCAAATGTCAAAACTTAGAAGATGAAATTAAAAAAATTATAAAATACTTGAAGATCATGGGCATCTTGTGATTGCAGGCCTCGAGAATTACTATGATGATCCTTCGAAGTCTATTTTACTATACCTATCATTCGGAATGATCAATCAAGGGCTCGATCATCATCACGCTATAGGCCATATAAGCTTAAGATTTATCAAACCTTAAAATGTGGCCATATATCTTTAGGAAGAGAAAATAACTTAAGAGGATTTTAGGAGAGTAGAGATAAACGGATGAAAGTCCATGTTTTGGAGACCTCTTTGGACAATGTCGTTGATCCTTTAACCTTACGAGAGACACAAAGAGATAAATTTATAAAGGTGATCTGAATATAATTATATTTGTAATATAATTAATTTGATTATGTTGAGTAATGTTTTGTATCTTCTAGATTTTTTAAAAGATAGCAACGATGAAGAAGAGGCAAATGTAAATATCATAAAAAAAAATACTATGTAAATATCATCAAAAAATACTATACATAAAAATACTATGTAAACATCAACGTGATGGTTATTGGAATTTGGCTCACGATGAGTAAACAAAAAATACTATGTAAATATCATCAAAAAAAAATTTCTACAATAAAAATTGTAACATCAATTGTAAAATGGTAACTTCATAATCAAAATTATCACAAGTTTATAATGTCTCATAATATTGCAATTCACTTATCGAAAAATTATATAGGTATATTTGTATAGATATACTATACATAAAAATCATCTTCTATAGCAAATGTAGATAATAAAAATAACCAAATATCGGTTATATAAAAAATTTGAAGAAACCATATTGTCCTACATTTTGGAACATTGACTTATACAACTGATTAAAAATTTATATGATCATCAATTATGACCTAATTGTTAATTCGAACTCTTTCTAAGGATTTTGTCATTATATCTCGATTCTATCCATGTTTTTTGCCTAATTATTTTATGCTCTTGGGAGGTAAGATAATCTTATCGTAAGGTTTTTTTAATCTAAATCTGCTTGTTCCTTGTTAGGAAGATGATATCATTGTGAGTCTTCTTCAAATATTTTGTCAAAAGTAATTCTCACCATAGTACATGGATTGGAATTCAAAAACCCAATAGCAGCTATTGCATGAAAGCATGAAATGTCAAATATATCAAAATGCCAACATGAATAGTTCTTTTTTTCCATGTCTGCTATGACTATCTCAATAGATGTTTGGACTTAAAAAGTGTTAGCAAGTGAGGGTGAACAACATAGAAACTCATCTTATCATTTGACTTTGATATTTCTTCCTCTATTAGAGGTGTCAATGTACTGGCCATAGCATTAACAATTTGACAATGCAAATAAAACCATTAGACAACTTTCCTTCATGTCATTTTGATCATATATGTTATTGGAATGGACATTGTTCTAAAAAAAAAAAATACAGTGGTCTACTTATCTATTTCTATTTCTAAAATCAACGATAACTTTTGATATGTTTTTTCATAAGTTTTCACCTACATTTATTGAACTTGAACTTAGTAGGTGCTCTCATGGCATTCTAGAAAAGTCTAGTTGCTTCCATATCACATGTCTCCCTATTGTATATGTCACTTACTAAATTCTTAGAAATATTTTTTTCGCTGCTACAAGAATTCCTATATTTTTATCACTAACAATACTTAAAGAATTATAGTGTACACTCCAACTTAAATAGAAATCATTCTCACTATTCTCTCTCCTCAATCTCTAATACTCTAAATATAATAAGAAATAGCTTATTAGATCTACCAACAATACTCACCATCATTAATACACCAGGATATTTTTTAAATAAATATGCTGCATCTATACTAATAACTGGAAGAATGTATTAAATAAAACTATGCAAACTTGGGAATGTCCAAAAAAACCTGACAAAAACATCATTC